CAAATTGCAAATAATCAAATCTGCAAAAGTTAAATCAGCAAATATGAAGGGTTGGCTGTACTACAATCTATTAACATTTGCTATATTCTATTTCCTGTAGAGGAAATATGATAAAGGGTGTAGAATACACCGCAGAAAGAAAAGAAAAGAAACTGAAAGCATTTTGCTTACAACAAAGATGATGACAGGACTTCTGAATCACCAAAAGACTTATCTAGAAAATGAATAGGAATCAGCTTGCAAGTTCAAACTTGGCTCAATAGAATAAACAGGTTTGTATGTATGCATTCATCCATAAATTGGAAATCTTTTCACAGATTAATGAATCATCTTGAGGCCAAAAACATATAAAAAACAAAAATACTGTTGGATTAAAAAACAATTTTATACTACACGCCAAATTAATCATGTTTATTACATAAATTCACAATGTAACATGCTGAATTAGCTACACGTTGCATGTCAGAACAATAGTGTACATCACAATGGTTTGTCATTACAAAATTTAGTAAAAGTTTGAACTTAAATTCATTCAGGTTATTTTTATTCACAGAACATAATTCTTGAGGAGGCATTTTTTCTTCTTCATAAAGATATATTGCACAGTTAACTAAACTACTTGTTAACTATTGGATTTTTCCTCTTAAGATGGCAATTTTGAAGTACCAGGGCTTGGGAACTATTTATTGCAAATTCCGTGTGTGCCTGAAATATTATTCCTTCTGCTGGAGTTCTCAAGGTAGGAAGAGAAAGTTGTGTAGAGGGTTTTTTCTTGATATTTTTTGATTTATGGAGAAAAAAAAGAAAGGTAATTTGATTGAAGGGAAATTGATCTGAGAGATCTGTATGTGAAATTAGGTTTTATATGATCTGAATGTAATACTGAATAAACAAATATATTGAACAGGATGGGATTAAATTGAGTTCACAGCTAGGTGGGGCAGCAATCTTTGGCAGTCTTTAATAGGAATTAAATGTTATTATTTAAATTAATCAATTTAGAGATTTGAATTCATCCACCCTCATTGTTGACCCAAATATGAGGATGTTCATGCAAATAACAATTGCAGTACTTTTTGCTTATGTATCTTTGCTCACTGGCTTATGAGGAGGAAGAGGAGGGGTAGTAGTTGGTAATACTACCATTTAATCTCTGATTAATAGCTACCAACCATATCCGTGCCCTGTTCGCCCCACCAGCTCAATAGATATCTTGAACAATGATCAATCTATTTGTCTTCAAAGAACTGGGAAATTTATGTTTCTGTTAGATGTTTTGCTTTATGTCTGATATAACAGATTACGTTTTTAATTTAATTTTAGTAGTTATGTCATAATTTGTTTTTATATGTTGGGTTGCTAAATTTCATTACTATGGGTGTATTGTTGTTGTTGTGTTTGGGCACTGAATGTTTACCCTTTATGTTTGGAATCTGCCTTGAGTCCCTCTGGAGAGATAGGGTGGAATATAAATAAATAAATAATAATATAAATAAATAATTATAATTATTGTTATTGTTATTATGGAATTGTAAATGTTATATGTTATAATTGGTATATTTTTGGTTTGGATCTGCAAGGGTTTTGGGTGGGATGGTTATTTGTTTATTTGTTTTTCTTTTGTACGGCAATGATAGTTTGCTGACTTTGTTGTTCACCACCTTGACTTTGTTCAGGGAGATAGGATAATATATAAATAAAGTTTATTTATATTTATTTAATTTATTTACTTTTTTTCAAAGTGAAGAGCAGCTGAGAGGGTCTTCCACCAAAGACAGACTGGAACTATGGAAGGGTAGTTTTATAATCTTCCCTGGAGATCATGAGCCTAATCCAGTTTGGGAAAGGGGGAGATTTATGACTTCTCTGAATGCTAATACACAAAAATTAATCATTGTATGGATTATTGTTTGTTTACAAGCAGGGCATAACAGGAGGAATGCTTTCCTGATAACCATTTGCATCATCTATTTTTCAGAGACCAGAACATTTAGCAAAGATGACTGGGATTACAGTGCAGTTGAAGAGCTCTGGATAAGTAAAGGGATGATATGTTGAAAATGGCTGAGAATGGGACAGAGTTAAAACACTCTTTAGAGGTACAATATTCACTGCTATACAGATGTCACACTTAAAGACACTACATACATAAATAAAAGCATATGTAATTGAGAGATTGAAAAATAAGAACCACAGTGATTCTTGCATACATTGTTTCAAGGTTGCAATCTTGCATTTTAAAATCTAGACTAATTTTAGAGAAAAACAAGGATTTGCCCACAAAAAATATACTGCATTTATCATGTTGCTATTTTAAAGTGATTTTGCCTTCCTAACAGTACAGCCTTTTGTATGATTTGAAGGCAGATTCATCTCAATTTGAAAAAAACAACAACAAAAAACCAAGCAATCAACCACTGGAGATTCCTTTAAGTCGGACTGAGATGCTTAGAATAAAATAATGAGACACCAACCAACCTTTTGGCTCTGCTTGTTGGAAATGTTGTTTTTACAGTCCAGCCTATAGAGGTGTGTCACAGTTTAAACAAAGTAACTACAGAAACATTAGGAATGCAGAAACAAAGACTAGTTTTTGCTTGTGAAACTTGAGGTGGCAGTTTCATTTCAAGTGGCAGCTTGGTCCTTTCCCTTATGGACGTTTCTTGCTTCTCCTGTCTGCTTTTGGAGACAATTTTCTTCATCATTGCTCTTTCTTCTTTTTTCATGTACCACTAGGGAGAAAATTAACTTGTTACATTTCCTTTTTGGGGGGAGAGTTTGTAGGACTTTTAAACCTTCTTTTCTGAATGTAGTAAGAAACTCCAGAGATACAGCTAGATTTGTTATAACCAGGATAACAGCATGATGTCTTTACTTTTCACAATACATTTGGTTGTCTTTCCTGAAAATAAGCCTTCTCATTATAGCACTGAAAACTGCTGAGGGCCAGTGGGTATAGCACAGGAGAGGATTAAATGTAAATACTGAATAGAGATGACTCAAGACCAATGAATATGATAAATTTTTATCATTACAACACCTGGCTTACTAATAAAGTATACACAGATATTGAAAACAACTGATTTTTGGACCATAAGTCACTCACCAATATCGTAAGTTAGGCATACTGGCAATCATTATGCACATAATCAATCTGGTCTATATTGGTAGTAACTCCCCTTCCCCAACCAGTAGAACATAATTCATACGTCCTAGTACATGAGTTTTCCAATCAACCAGATTTACTGGTTTAGGAACTTTGATAAACACCAGTTTGTTTGGAATAAGGACCAGATTCCACTTATCCTTATAAAGACCTCTGTCACTAATCTTTTGTCTGCAGTTTTGCTGGTTTAGGTTCATCTACTGTCTACCTTTTTGGGGGGTTCATGCTGTCCTGTACTCTTGCCATATTAGTGACCTGGGTTTCCCAATCGGTTTGTGTGGCTGAATTAATCTTATGGGGCTCTTGACTAGTCACTCTGGATCTATCCACTTTGCTATCATTGGTAGCACTGTGGCTCTGCTTCAGGGGGCTTTTTTTGCTTCCAGAAGTCGGAGCAAGTACATTTTTAAAATGCAACTCCAGCCAGAGATAGATAGATAGATAGACAGACAGACAGACAGAAAGACAGATAGATATGCAAGCTTTGGTTAGGGTAGGAAAGAGTTAAAACTCTGGTGGTGTTTGCCTGGCTTTCTGTGCCCTTGTTTAGAAGATTTCATCTCACTTCCTGTCCCTGTGATAATTGGATTGTGAACAATTTAGCTTGTTGTGGAAACAAGGATTTTCGATAAGCTTTATTTGAGACCCCCTTTTCCCATAATAACTCTCACTAATGAATTTCCCTTCTGATGGGTAGATTTATCTCATTTCCTGTCTCACCCCGGTTCTTTACTATGAGTCGTTTGTAACTTGGATGTTTGTAACTCTGAGACTGCTTGTATATTCCAACATTGCTTATTTTTGATGAAATATATAAATTTTGGTATGTTTAAACATTACAGACTCATGAATTGCACTTCAAATTGCTGAGTTCAGCAGAGATACTTTTTATGTTTGGTTTTCTATCAAGTGGGTTTGAGGGCAGCCCTGTAGGGATGAATTAAGTCTCCCCATCCTCTGGAGGGAGGAGGATGTCTTTCACTCCTTCCACGCAAGAGAGATTGTATTATAGAGAGTTTCAAATTATAGTCAGCCCTCCAAATGTATAGGTTTGGCTTGTGTAAATTTGATTATTTGTTGATTTGATTAAAATGTTCTCTCTAGGAATCTCTAGGTCCATCAGTGCGATTCTATAGTCAACCGCCACTGGAAGTTGAGCATAGAGCTTTACTAGAGAGCATAAGCAGTCCTAGAGAAGTTCTCTTTCATTTGCAGTTTTTCACTTTTGTGGAGATGCTATCCCCTAACCCCAGTGAAAGTGGAGTGCTGACTGTACTTCCAAAAGCCTTTTAAGTGGCAGTCCTAAGATAATTTATGAGTTAGTAAACATACCTGTCAGTGTTTCTCAAACTATCTTATGTGGGAGATTAATATGGTTTTCCATGCTGTTTGGGGGATCAACCCCAAATTTGGACCCATTGAGTACAACTGTTTATTTCTTTCCTGGAAGCTTACCGTGACTTCAGCAAATAGCTCTTGTGCCAGCTCTGGTTAATGAACCATTACTTTCAGTAACACTCTTACAGACTGTCTCATGCAATCTCTTGCATGAGACAGGAAACATAAAGCTAAGGCTTGCCCAGGAAAAGGCTGTTCATTTTCCACTTGATCTCTAGTGAGGGAGATTTTACTTCACTTCTATGATTAAGTGTTCTATCCTAAGGTTCAGTTGAAATGAACTGTAACCAAGGCCCAATAAATATATGCCCTCTGGAATAGCAGAACACAAGACTTTGCCAACCCTTCAGGTCTCTGAAGAGTAGTATCCTGTCCCTCCTCAGTCTTTTCTTCTGCAGGCCTGAGCAGCATGGCTGATAGTTGGGTTTTGTTCAACTTACTCTTGGTGTTCTTGTTGCTGTTCAGGAATATGCCGAACGACTTCATAAATTGTACCATGGAAATCATGCCCTTGGATAACATCAGAGCCAGAAACAGACTGACTTGACATCTGAAAAGAAAAAAGAAATATATCCTATTCTCAGAGCAAGACATCCTATTCTCAGAGCAAGACTGGCTACCGATTTGCTACCGGGCTCAATTCAAAGTGCTGGTGTTGACCTTTAAAGCCCTAAACGGTTCCGGCCCAAGCTACCTATCTGACCGCATCTCGGCCTATGAACCCACCAGGACTTTGAGATCTTCCGGGGAGGCCCTGCTCTCGATCCCGCCAGCGTCACAAGCACGGCTGGCGGGGACAAGAGATAGGGCCTTCTTGGTGGTGGCTCCCCGGCTGTGGAACGCCCTTCCCACAGATATTAGGTTAGCACCATCTCTAATGGTATTCCGCAAGAAAGTAAAGACCTGGTTATTTCAGCAGGCGTTCGAATAATTGTGCAATGACTGGTAATGACATAGGAATGGAACAATGGATGACGAATCTGGATCATGTTTTTAGTGATGAGACCTTAGTGAATGGTTATTATAGTAATTGTGTATTAATTGTGTATTAGATTAGGTTATTAACTGGTTTATATTGGTGTTGAATTTTGCTGTGTCATGTGAACCGCTGTGAGTCGCCTCCGGGCTGAGAACAGCGGTATAGAAGTAAAGTAAATGTTCCGTCTCCCAGGAGTATGGGTTCTGCATTACCTTTAAGTTGCTGGAAACAGCCTCTCCTTGTGTTTCTCCCAGGCTGCTGCAGCCTCTGCAAGGCCTAAAAAGTTAGCAGCCAGAAGCAGGAAAGCCAGTTTGCAGGCCCTCTGCAATGATTGGCCAAAGAGTAGCTCTTTGGGCCTGCCCCTGCTTCCAGGGTAGAAGCAGCCATTTTGGAGGTCTCCCTGCCCCTTCAGTTTTAGGAAGAATCCATGATGTGCTGTTGGCAGACAGGTACCTCCGCAGATACCATTGTCAAAACAATTTAGTTATAGATAGAAAATAATTTAGTAATTTAGTTTAATTGAGACCTATAGATTATAGATAGATAGATAGATAGATAGATAGATAGAGTAATTGAGTTTAACTGAATATAGATAGAGTTTATTAATATAGATGGAGTTTATTATTCATTGATTGTTGTAATATTGATAAGCTGAGCCAAGTCTACCAGGACTTCGTGAATAAATACCCTGTTTAATGTTTCTTGAAGTGGACTCAGTTATTCAAGAAAGCTCAGTCTGCCTAAAGAAAGACCCCAGCAGTTTCGCCCAGACATAGATAGCAGCACGTCAAAGTTTTATTTTAAAGCGTCTGGGCGTAACGGCACAGTAAATAAATAAATAAATAAATAAGACAAACAACACTTGAAGAGGAGCCTAAAACAGATCTAGATTAGTGAAGCACAGTACATGTCCAATTATCTGATGTTAGGGACTGGAGACCCACATTCAAATCCTTGCTCAATGATGAAGTTCATGGGGAGCCATTCAGTTTCCCAACATAATTGATTTCAAAGGGTGGTGCTGAAAATTAAAATGAGTGGGGATATAATTCTTACTAAAGGGAGGGTTTGGTATCACTGTACAAGATACAAATCTAAAAATATCTGTTTATTCCCTTTAGAAATGGCAAGTGCTTTTTCACTGTAGGCAAAGTAGATATCACATGAGAAACCAATATGGCTCTCAGGTATTGCCCTAGATATCCAAGAGCTCACCCACTGCTTCTTGCAGAAAGGTTTTATGATCTCTACATATAATATTGTGACTTGCCAATGTCAAATGAAGTTCATTAGATTTAAGAAGTGGTTAACACGTGACTGAAGAACAAGGAATAGTGAAGAGAAGAAACAGTTTTCTTTCATCATGCCAAGTTTAGAACCTATTTTTTTTAAAGCCAATTACTTTTGATCAATATACATTAAAGCAAGGGCCCCTTGGTGGCACAGCGGGTTGAACAGCTGAGCTGCTGAACTTGGTGACTGAAAGGTTGATGGTTCAAATCTAGGGAGCGGGGTGAGCTCCTGCTGTTAGGCCCAGCTTTTGCCAACCTAGCATTTCGAAAACATGCAAATGTGAGATCAATAGGCGGGAAGTAACAGTGCTCCATGCAGTCATGCTGACGACATGACCTTGGAGGTGTCTACAGACAACACCAGCTCTTGGGCTTAGAAATGGAGATGAGCACCACCTCTCAGAGTAAGACATGACTACACTTAATGCAGGGGAAACCTCTACCTTTACCTTACATTAGAGAGCTTCTTATTTATTAATTTGTTTTTTTCCTAGCTTTCCCTCCAAAGCACTCAGGGAATCCTGATTTTCTCTCTCCTTCCATTTTACCTTTACAACAATCCTGTCTACTGGATAAGTACAAAGAATATGACCACTCCACAATCACACAATGTGCTCCACAGTCTTACTCATTATTGTGCTGGATTTCACAAATGGATTGTAAGTCCTAAGCTTTGATATTTTACACCATCTATAGTTGGAGATCACAGGATTGGAGGAGTAGGGCTTTTCAATTATCAGGGAGAAAGGACTTCCTTTTACTCCCAAGCTCAGCTGAAGTCTTCACACTATCCCAGCAGTAATGCATTGTTGCAAGCTACTCCTATAAATAAACATGGAATTTTGGAGCAGTGTGGTTTTGAATGGAGAATTTTACCCATTAGACTTACAAAAGAATATTACCTAATGATAAAAGTGCTAGGCTAATAAATTTATATGGATCAAGGTAAGTCCCTGCATTTTTCAACTCTCCTTGGCTTTGCAGACTTCTGGGGAGTTGCCTGTACTTCAACATTTTTCATTCATCAAAGCATGGGCAAAACACCACAATGGTATCATATTAATCCCTTCATCATGCTGGTTTTATATTGGAATGTTGCAATGTAACTTTGATGTTGTAACAGCTTGAAGCTCTCTATATTTAGAAAGTGGTTATGTCACCAGGAATGAAGAAGTACCACCAAAAGAGAATAGGAAACTGCCATATTTAGTTTTAGAAAAACTAAGCATCTTCCTTCTTTGTATTTTTTGTTTGTTTGCTGGAAACCTTTAAGCTTTACAGCCAACTCTGTTTAATAACATTGTACAGAATAGCTGTAAAAAGATGTGAAGAGAGCCGTGACTCATTAAGTATCTCAAGAGAGACTGTATTTTAATTATATAAGCACTTACTCTTGAAATTCCTCCGGGGTCTGGAAATGCAACAAATTCATATATTCCAAAATCATCTAGTGCGTTTTCATGCCCTGAAATGCAGATGGTTAACAAAGGGGGGGAGGAAATGATTATTTATGGCATTCATTTTCTCCTCAACTTTACCTCCACTTGAATTCCCAGGAGATTCTCAACTATGTAGAGTGTTGGCAAAAGGAGGTGAGAAAGGGTGAAAAAGCACAGAATTTAAATAGTATATGGAGACTACAGCAGAAATATGGAAATTAGGCAAGCCTACTCAAAAATGTCAATAAATGAGGGAGCTGTGTAGAGAAGCAAATGACTATTCCTACCAGTAAACAGTGTTCAAAAGCCGGTGTGCTTCAGAATGGATGAATATGGGATTTTTTTGCTATTTCCTTCCTAACCCTAATCCTAATCCTAACCCTAACCCTTGAGCACAAATTCTGGGCTCCAATTGAGTGAGATATTGGGTGTATCTACATTGTAAAATTAGAAGGCCATCCGTCTTCTTTGCCAAAGGATGGTGGTATCTCACCAAACTACTACTCCCAGCATTTCATAGCATTGAACCATGACAGTTAAATTGGTGTCAAACAGCATTACTTCTACAGTGTAGAGGTACCCATGACCAATCTATGACTGAATCTCCCTTCATTTCTGTTTCCTTTTTCTTTGTCTTAAAAGAAGACACAGGGCCTCCCCAATTAGTTGGGAATGGAGAATCACTTCCTCAGCAGACTAAGGGCCTTTCATATAACCCAGTCATATAACCCAGGGCTGATCTAGAAAGCCTCTTTATTGCGGAAACTTCCACAATAAAAAGGGGACTGTCCAGGCAATGTTCTGGGCAACCCTGAATTAATTTGCCATAAACCAGAAAAACCCTGGTTTGTGGTGAATTAATTTGATATTGGGTTTATTCTGTGCCTTCTTGGAACCCACTATTTCTGGTGTCTGGGCTGCATAATACTACAGTCCAGACAGTATACCAACTCCCTCCCCAGAAGCCCCCTTAAACACAGTCAAAAAGGAAAAGAACTGCCAGAGTTCTGGCGTGTACAAATGATGTGCCAGGAGAAAGGGGGGGGGGGTAGGAGGAAAATTGCTTCTGCCCTCCCCACTCCCCTTTCTCCTGATACATCATTTGTACCAGCCAGGAGAACTCCGGCAGCCGTCCTATGGAGGCCGGGCAAGTTATTTTCCTTTTTTACTGTGTTTAGGGGGGCTTCTGGGGAGGGGGTTAAGCAGATAATGTGGGATTTTATTTAGCTGTGTGGAAGGGGGCTCAGATAGCTAGGAACTCTGATATTAGTACAATGGTGAGTGTGTTCTATAATGAAGCCATCTTAAATGGGGCAGATATGGGATTCAACACCATGATTCACTCCTTTAATGCTTAGAGTAAAACCCAGTGTCATCCCACTTACATTGCAGCAGCTACCTCTCATTTCCAGTAAGGAGATACAGCATCTATTAGGATGCAATTTAGATGAGAAAAAAACCCTAGTAAGAAAGACTTAACTAGCCCAGTCCAGAATTTCAGCAGCACCTCATTTGAAGCCTCTACCCGTGGCTTTTAAGGAAAAATAAAAGCACTGAAATTGCTGATGATGACCATCTACTTCAACCATCTACTGCCCCTGATTACTCTCTTTCCCTTCAGCCTTTTAAAGAGAAATTCCAAGAGAGTTGCAAATTAAATAATTTATACCACAATACCTGAGATTGTTTGTGCTCTTCTGTAATCAGCTTCAGGCCTAAAACATTTTAAAAATACAAATTTTAAGTTGAAACATCTTAAATTCAGCATATAACCAGGAAGAATGCAGGACATGCTTTTTTTGAAAGGATTTATGTGGGATTGATGAACAAAGAATAAATTTTTACCTGATCTGCAATGTCTGCTGTATAGCTGGAAAAGAGAGATGAAGGGGGAAATATCAGCTTTATAATACAACATAGGGAAACTTTGAATGTACTAGCACATTCATTTAACATACCTTTGTGAGGTTGAAATCTTTTCCAAATTGTTAGAAAACACATTGCTAGTATCAAAGATAAGGAAATTCCAGTTATTATTGCTAAATGTGATAAGTATTTTCCTTTTTGGGCCAGCTGCTCCAGTCCTGCATCAGAGAAGAATAAAAATGGATAACTGATCTACAGAGTAATTCTTATGGATGAATTAAAAGCAGGTCCACAGTATATCACAGTTGTTTTGAAAGCAGAGCATGACCATTATTTAAATACTTTATTGTCTGCATCTCCTCAGAGCAAAATACATCTGAAGTACAATTTAAGTGACCTCCAAACATCTAAATTTGTTACTCTTTCTTTTGGCTTTCTTTACACTGTCAAAAATAATGTCACTCTTTCACTTGACCTAGACACAGAGTAGATCTAGGCATTCTGTATCAAATATGAACTCTAAATCCATCATTGGCAGACATCCATAATTTTGGACTACGAATCCATTGCTTATATGGCGAATGGTTGTAGATTTCAGGTCTTCCCATGCAAGATCGTCTTGGGACCCATGTTTAACAGAGGCTTTCATATCTATAATGTTTTGGTGATAAGATACCAGATGGCTTCAGAAATATGCTTAGGCAGCTTTCCAATTATGAGTCTGCAACTCCCAGCAGCCATACCTAGTATAGCCAAATGTGAAGAATGCTGGGAGCTACAGTATGACAACATCTGGAGAGTTGCATGAGCCTCAGTTTGTTATACAAGTCAGATAACTGACATTTTCAATAGAAGTTCCAAAATGGGTTTTAGCAAAACATGGACAGTGCTAAACTAAGTTCCAAGTTAGTGATAAATTATTAGCTTTCACTAGTTTGCGATACACTTTTCCAAATCTGCAGCATTAAACATTTATGTCCAGTAGCTTCCCCTCTTTCTTCTTCCTTCTCTCTTGTTCTCATCAGGTGAAGGATTGCTAGATATTTGTTCAAGAAACAACTTGAAAGCACACAACTATAACAGCAAACTGACTGTGAACACCATAACTAGGTAATGACGACTATAAAGGAACAGTGAAATATATCTTTTAAAAGTAACAGAACCCTTAACCTTAGAAGCAGTTTAATCTTCTGGGTAGGTTAATAGTATTGATCTGTAGTGCCAGTCAGTAGTATTGCAATTAAATAGGAGTCTAGCTTAAATAAAATGTAATGTATTTGAAAGATGAAACATAAATCACAATTTCCTTATTTGTCAGTGTTCATTTACAGGACTGATGTTGAATTTGCTTTCCTTGCAGCTTGAACCAGAAATGAAAATGCCCCGTTTCCCATTCACCTAGGTTAGGCACATCACCTCATTTTCCCGGGTGATTAGAATATTTGGCAGAAACTATAACAGCTTGCTTTCAATTTAAAAACCACAATATTTACTTATATTGTTATATATGTTTGTTTGACTTTTCTTTTCATATCATTTACTGCAATTGATATTGCCACATCTAGCCACTAGATGGTACTAAAGCTTAATTTTTACCCATTGGTTTAGTTTGGAGAACCAAGACTCTGAACTAGCTAACTGGATCTGCAGGAAAAGAGGGAACAGGTACATTAGTCCAAAAGGTCTGGGCAACCAGTGGTGCATATATAAAGAGGTGATAACACAGGCAATCTAGATATTGAAGGGTAAAGAGTAAACAAAGATGCTTTCTTTCATGTTAGGAGCTACTTGAGAAACTGCGAGTCGTTTCTTGTGTGAGAGAACTGGCCACCTGCAAGAATGTTGTCCAGGGGACACCTGGATGCTTTTGATGTTTCACAATCCTTGTGGGAGGCTTCTCTCACATCCCTGCATGAGGAGCTGGAGCTTTCAGAGGGAACTCATCTGCGCTCTCCCCGGATTTGAACCATGACCTGTTGGTCTTCAGTATGCCGGCACAAGGGTTTAACTCACTGCACCACTGGGGGCTCCGCTTTGAACAAAGATGCTGACCCGATACTAAAAGAAACCAAGAGCTACAGTCTTTGGAGAATAAAGCCATCGTTCTGGAAATCTCCAGTAGTCAGACAGAAGAGTCCACCAAATCAACCAAGAAACAAAATCAGCTATTAAAGATGGATAGCTGGTACAGAGGTGAAACGAGTCTCACTACACAGACCGCAAAAGGGAAGGATAAAAGTTGAAAGTAGTGTGTGTGTTTATTTGTTCAGTTGCTTTTGATTCTTTGTGATCTCATGGACCAGTCTACACCAGAGATTCCTGTTGACCGTAGCCACCCCCAGCTCCTTCAAGGATCCTGCAGATCCAGTTAGCACTTCTATCTTGCCCTTGGTTGAGCCTTCTTCCTTTTTCATACTGAAACCGGTATGAGTTATATAATTGAAGACTCATTTCACCCTTCTGCTCTCATGGGGACTTGAATGAAAGATGGAGTGTTCTTCAAAGAAGATGGTAGCTGAATGAGTGGGATCATGGCCAGTGAGCCATGATCCCACTCCAGATGGAAAGGTCTGGAGAGAAGTAAATCATGAACAGTAGTAGTTTAGGAGCAATGTTTGCACAAAGAGTAACACAAAGGAAATTGCGAAGAAGTTAGGCAATTGAAAGATATCAAATTAGGAGAAATGGAAGAAAAGAACAATAAGAATGGAAGAAAAAGAAAAATAAGAAAGAAAGAAGACTTTTTTTAAAAAAGGGTCACCAATGAAAGGATAAATACTGTATTTCGTTGATTCTAAGATGGCACTGATTGTAAGACACACATAAATTTCAGTGCCACCAACAGAAAATGAACCATATATGTGTATGTGTGCATGTGTAGGCAGCTTTTTTATGTTGGTGGTACTGAAGTATATTGTACTCGTAATTAAGATGAGCCTAATACACAAGAGGTCTTCAAAAAGTTTCTGCATTTTTACATTTTTGTTGAAAACCGTGAGGGCGGGAGTAGTAGTAATTGGTCATGTCTGAGAGTATCATGTGACTAGTCTGTCAGGCAAGCCGGTGGAACTTGCTGTTTAGTATAAGAATTGACACGCTGTGGTGAAGATGGCTGTGAAATTTATAAATTGCACCAAACAGGAAGAGCATTCTATCATATGCTTTTTGTGGGCAGAAGGTGTGCTGGTAGTACAAATTAATTTCCACACATGCATTCACTATGGGAATAAAGTTCTCTTTTGTAGTGTTGTCTATGAGTAGATTGAAATGTTCGAAAAAGGCCATATTAGTGTGACAAATCCAGAGCACCCTGCATGTCCAGCTACAACAACAAAGAATGAAGAATGAACGCTGGAGCTGATTCACGTTAGTGCATCAGAGGCTACACACACACTACTAAAAACATTTTTTGCTGATGGCATTAAAAATAGGGTACGATGCTGGTAAAGATGCATCACAAAGGAAGATGACTATGTAGAAAAGTGAAATAATTTGTTTTTGGAATTCTTAATAGAATTTTTTAAAGTATGGAAACTTTTTGAAGGACCCTCATATATACATATATAAGCACCCATGATTCTAAGACATTTTAAATATGTTTACATGGGGGAAAGTTGATCTTCAAATCGAAGCAATATCTTAATTATATTTAAATCCATAATTAGAATTCTCATTTACCTGACAAGATCCAATGACTCCCTTCCTATTTACTTGAATATATTTGACTCTATTCTTTGGAGATCACCTGTACTCACTGTAAGAGGTATAGAAAGTAGAAATGAAGTTTTAAGGAATTGTTAAGTATTAAACTGAAATATAAGTTCGGTCTTCTTGGACATGTCTCTGGTATAACCAGCCTCCAACCCAACAATATTTCTCAAGATGCTCTTGGGCTGCTACTGGCCTCTTACTGCCATATTTTTGGTTCATGGTGAGAGCAGAATGATGTTGAGAGTCCAGCACCATCTTTAAAAGCCATATACACTTGATCCTTGCCCTAACCGGTCTTCCTTTGGACTTGGAGAGAACTGCCATGATGAATGATTGTTGGGATCATGTTTCTGGTTTGCCTAAGTTATATGTGCATAAGCGGAGTTTGGACTATTACAGGGAGAAAGAGCAATATCCCTTTAAAACTATGACATATGCTCTGCCTCTGGGGTCACTTTGATGCTTACTCAACAATGCTCTGAGTTCCACCTGAGTCCCATCAGTTGCTGCTCTCATTCTAACAGCCCTTGATAGTTGGGAAGCAGTAGAGAGGGGGCTGTTTCTGAAATCTTTACCAGTTTCTTTAGTCTGGATTTGGTCTTAAACCAGACAGCTACTCAGGTTCAGAGCTGATCTCTCTCTATGTGATTCATGATCTTTTCGTGAGGCTGATGTGATTAGTTGTTCAAGGGGATGGGTATTCCTAATTTGAATGGAGAAGTAAGATTGGCAGCTCCTTTGCTCCATGTCTCTGTATTCTTTAATGCAGGCAAAGGTGTTTCTCACCGAGAAGACAACCTGTAAGTATATTTTCCTTTTTCCTTTTTGGATTCTCATGGTAGCCCCACTTTTCTTTGTGGGCCTCACTTTGTACTCTTTCTCAGTCCTTGTGGTCTTCTGATTTCTATTTTGAGGAAGGAATTCAAGAACTCCATCCTCAGGTCACAGTAGAGAGAAAAGTCAATAATACTCTTAAATCAAGATGTAGAGGTCCACATTACTTACTGTACATTGGTACATAGAAATGAAAAAAATCTTTCTTCTGTAGTACAGGATGTCAAGCCCAAAATCTGAACATATAAACTACTATATCTATGTATTTGGACGTCACCTTTGCAATGAAAGAGACAAACAGAAATGTAATGGGAGGGGGGGGGGGATACTGATAGCCATCTGTCAATCCATTCTTCAATCTTGGCCAATCCCAATGAAATCCTTTCTCTCTGCCTCCTTTGCATCTGCAGCAAAGCTGTTCCCTGGGCTTTCCGGGCATACTTTCAAAATGCACAGCTAAGAGCTGCATGATTTCAGAGGGGCACTGGGCCCACTCCTCTCTGAGGCCTCATCTACATTGCCATATAAAATCTAGATTGTCTGCTTTGAATTGGATTATATGAGTCTACATTGCCATATAATCTAATTCAAAGCAGATAATTGGATTTTATTTGGTAGTGCAGATGGAGCCTGTGGTTGATGTCTCTTTGCTCTGCTTTTTTTCCTAATCCGG